GGTGGCTGCTGGCGCGACTGGCTCACGGGCCCGTTGCAACGAGAGGAAGGGGGCCAAAGGGGGGCGGAAGGGGCGGAGGGGCCTGGACGTGGCGGCTCTGAGGCGCCGCCTGGACGAGCTGGCCGCGAAGTACGGCTACGAGATGATTGTCAACTCGCCGATCGTGGCCAACGGCGGGCGGCCGCTGGAGGGCTTGGGCCCGGGCTCGTCGGCGCCGGTTTCCGGATTGATCCTCGCTCCCGACGCCCAGAAGAGGATCGGGGACGGTCGCGTGGAGCGCCGGGGCGCCCCGGCCGTTAGGGAAGCCGGCGAGGGCCGCCGTCGGGCCGCGTTAGCCCCAGCCTCGAGAATGGGCGTCGCCGAGTGGAGTCGCCTGGATGGGGGCAGCAAGGCCGGCAAAAGTTCTTGGAGTTTCGGCGGCGTGGAAAGCGGCGACCCGAATCCTTGCATCAAAGGTGGAGGGGAAGGCACAGCGACATGCCGGCCTCCGGAATGCGGTCAGTGCGCACAAGGCCCTGCCCGCCGCGGTGAAAAGGAGGACAGGCATGAACGGGGCTCTGCGACCCCTGCCGATGACGTCCTGGCGAGGCCCGACTCGAGATGGGGAGACAGGCCGCGCACGAGCCAACGAATTGGCGCCAGAAGCGCTCCCTCGTTTTACCCCTTCCCTCTTCAGCAGTTAAGAGCGCTCGGGTCCGAAAAAGCCGCTTCGTGTTGTCCGGCGCCGGGCCACTTGCTCAAGACGAGGACGACGGCAATGAGAATGAACCCGTGCGAGCGCAAGGCGCCCGGCCGCGGCGCCGCGAAGTCCAGGACGTGCCCTCCCTCCCGTCAAGCGTCCGCAGCTCAAAGTCGCGTCCGTCGTGCCTGGACGCCGGAACACCCCGGCAAGGGGAGGAACGCGGACCTGTTGCTCCCAACGCCCAGGCCCCACAGCACACCTGTCGATGCCATCAGCAACCGAGAGGTCGGCAGCCCGTTTCCGCAACCTGCGAGCCCGAGAGCGCGCTCGGCGTTCGCGTCTTCTCGTTTCAGTTCGGAAAGCGCGGTGCGTCATTCTGGCGTGGACTTGCGCACAGCCGGCCAGCTGAGAGCGGGTGGCTTTTCCGGGGGATGGTCCAGGCCTGCGACGGCGCCCACGGGAACTCTGCGGTGCCTTCCACAGCTGGGTGAAAGGTCAGCGTCCAAAAGTTAGTATGAGGGCCGCCTTTCTTGATGTCTGCAGGGAATCCTGAAGGCTGTCACAATTGATGAGTACCCATGTGTGCGCGATCAGATCCTCAAATGAAATTTCGCATGGCTGTGGATTCAGCCACTACTCGGCCCCTTAGCTGTACTGGCATTGAGTGGCAAGGCTCTGTTGTCCGTACAGGGCGAGTATGAAGAATGGCAAATGCATCCATGGTTTCGTCGGCCGGCACTGGGCTTGCGACGCCGTGCGCTTAAATGAAATCTTCGTTGAGGCAGCAATGAACTGAACAGATTCAAATCTGTAACATTGTGTCAATTACTTTGGGAGAACAGCGCCCTTGATCGCTTTAGGGCGAAATTCAACGGCTTGAAATGTCATATTGCATGTACCACAAGCGGTCTGCCTGCAAGATTTTTCAAATGACTTTTTCTATTCCTGTCCAGGTACCCTTTCAGGAATCTTCAGTATTACATGTCGATGGTGACGCTTTGAAGGGACGATGTTAATTATACAGAGATGACAAAATATGGAGAGACGGTTGTTGGCCAGGTAAAGCGCAACTTGTCTGGGGGCGACGCAGAGCAATCTTTAACAGTCGGTGTTGCAAATGGTGAGCTCCAGATAAAACTGCAGTAGTAGGAATGAGAATAATGGAATGCATGAATCGTTCGTATGGACTAATGGCATCGAGCACATGCGTGTCATTGGCATTCACCGGGAGGACTGTCTAGATCAATGCGGTCCGTAGCCAGAAAGGCAGGGGATGTCGACATGTCGAAAAGCACACTTTTTGCAATGCAAGTTTTCGGCTCGAGGCTGCTCTTCGAGGATGCAAGATGTGGGGCCGCAGGCGCATCGCATGCGGAACCTCTGCGGACAGCGTCGATCCACTCCCCCGAGGACGGCATTCTTTGTCTCTTGAATGCAACATTCGTAAAATATGAATGCGCACTGACATTGTGTTGAGCATAGCTCAGATATACCATTCGATTTTGGGTTCCCAAGCCTTGGGCACCTTAGGTGCGATTCAAAATTTGAACATGCCATGCAAAGTTCTTCCTCAGACACCTTGAGGGCGGTTACGAGCATCAAAGCCAGGAAGCTTTTGGAGCCGCAGAAAGTTTCTGTGTTTCTGCCAGAAACACAGCGTGGACAAACCGGTCTTGGCAAAGCAACAATCTCCCAACGTGCCTCCATTATTAGCAGCTATAAAAGTTCGCCCAAACCGATACCGCACTTGCAAGGGCCTGATTGATTGCCTCCCGAACGTCGTTCAGCCAATGCTGACACAAACTTTTGTATACCCATTTTGCCGATATGGTTTCCTTTTGACCACAATGCTTTCCGTATGCCAATTGAATCGATCCAACAGTCCTGAATTGGATTTGGATGGCTGTAAAATGTATGGAATTACACTACACTGCACTACGTACCACTTCCAAAGAGCAGCTGCATCAGTGCAGAGCCATTGAGGTATATCGCCGCGGGCTGCGCAGCTTGGCAAACTTAAACTCTGTTTCAGTAAGCCTGTCGTTCATTCTAGGACACTGCGGTTCCATTGCAGGATTACGAGCTGCAAGATTGCAAGTTCTACACTCTTCGGGCCCACTGACCGACAACAAATATCTGCATCTGTCCTGCGTGCAGTGGTAGCACCATCTTTGTCATTCAGTGAATTAAAACTTGAGCCAGCTATGACCAATCCCAACAGAAGTGTGTGCCGTCGGCCACCATTTCTTTCAGACTATCATGGCATCAGGTTGATTGGTTCCTTTTCAACGGGGTGGGGTGGGGTGGGGTAGGGTGGGGTGTGGTGGTGGGGGGACATGCTGACGGCTTTTCCAGGAGAGCGATACATGAACTGTAAGTGGTGCTGAGAGAAAGGAGGAAAATCGGGCTTGCGAGTGGCTTGGGCCGGTAAGCCATCGGGGCACAGCGTGTGGAGGATTCTTTGGCATATATCACATAGTATAATTTTGGTGTTGTATGGCATTGTTAGGTAATGTTGCTGAGTCATTCTGGCATGGAGATAAAGACTGATGCTAAGAAGAGGTGAGGGTGGTACGTGGGTGGATTCTGAGCATAACGTCACATTGGCGTTAAGGGTGCAAATTCAAAAGAGCGTCTTCCGTTGGAAGGCTTGTTTTTCTTGCTGCTTGTGTTTGTGTACAAAATTCACTGTGAATCCTGGCAAGGTGCGTGGGCGGGTTGTCAAATCTCATTGTGCAGGGTGCGGAATTATGCGATGCAGCCGGTGTTGGCATCTGCTGTTGTTGTCTTTGCCATAATTCGCCCGGGGCAGAGGGCGAACTAGTTGCGTTTGTGGTAGAAGCATCGCACAGGCAGACGCCCGCTGGCTCATGTGATGCCCCATGACAGTTCGACACGATGGGTGCCACTGCAGGGCGCAAGACTGATAGAAGAAGTGTGCACGGAACAAACATGGCCTGGGAAGTGTGATCATGAATGATCAATGCATCAAAACGCTCCGAATGGAATCAAAACTGCATCTTTGTCCAATGTCCTTTTCCGGATGTGGTCTTGAAGGACATTAAGGTCACGAAGATCATGAAGTTCGCAAAGGTCATTTTCCGGTTCCCTTTCTAGAATTTTCCATCTTTTGGCTTTTGATAGTTTTTCAGTGTTTGGGTTTACGGTAGCATACCGTTGAACCCTTCACGACCTCCGTAACCAGAAATGATAGGTACCGGGCAAACCTGCAATGCGGGGGTATTCTTGCTGGCACCCTAAAGTGCAGCCAACTGGAAATAGACGACCCAGCAGGAGACAAAGTAGAGCACAAGAGAAAAGAACGCAAAATTGGTTGAGCCTGGGAGCAAAAGTTATCGACATGTTGAAGATGCAACACCTGTCGCTGGTTCAGCTTGTCACTATTGACTCAAGGTGCACGCACCAATGGTGGAAACATCTGAGGGCTGAGCCCTTGAAACACGCCAAAATCGGCAATATTTCAAGACAGAACTGGTGACCGAAAATGGTTCCCAACATTAACATAGCTCCACATATTTCGTGTGCAATGTATGGTCTTGAACTCGCTCCCAAACGTCCCTCTATCACTATCCTACTGTTGAGCCCAGACGACCCATTTGGCAAAGAAGAATTCACTGATCTCCATCCATTGGAGTTATCAGGTCCGTTTGCCTCCAGCTGACATTGGGTCTGCCCAGCTGACGGTCCCCTACTACCACAATGTATTGCACACTTCCCCAGCCACCTCCAAACCAACAACTCGTTGCCATTCTGTTCGTATGGATGCATGTTCCTTGTTCAGTTCTTTGCAGCCTATGTCCACATCCAATTGTGCCCGAAGACGACCAGCGCGGGAAACTCTATCACTTTGGAGAGACTGCATGTGAACATTCCAAGCACAGCAAGCATTCCTAAACCGCTGCTTGGATGTGTCCAGAGTCCCTGCCTCCATATGCAACACAGCTTGGTTTCACAGCAGCAGGAACGTCACTATGACGAGCCCAAACTCTGTTGGGGACCAACGTTGGGGGCCTGCTCTGGTCCATTCCATCGGCACGTGAGACTGCCTGCGAATGTGCTGCCAAGCAACATCGCATCAGGCCATGTTCTGGCCCATGCTGCTTCTGCTGCAGTCAGTGGACGCTCCACCTGCAGCTGAGTCAGCTGTGGCATCGGCCATCTCACAGCAGCAACATTCCAGCGCAGCTGTCGTCCATCCCAGCTTGCCTGCCAGCCAAAGCTGCTCCCGCCATGCATGTACTGCCAGTCAATTGCGTAAGGTGGTTAGCGTCCCAGCCACAACTAATTCACCCAAACACTACCCCCCTATTCTCTTCTGCATAACTGGACCAGGTGCTGCTGCAGGGTTCAGACCGGGCAAAGGCTCTGGTGTTTGTGCCCCTGCTGCTGCTATGACAGTCCCAGGGGGATCGGTCTCCGCATCTTGGGGCAGATAAATTACTCGCGAAGCTGGCGGGTTAGCAGGACACATCGCCCAAAATGTGCAAAAGTCGGACCCCTCGACCACCTCACAAGTGTCTGCACTGCAAACTTCACGTTGGCACACATAAAAGCACTGTGGTGCCGGAGGCTTGCGTGGCCGTGAACTGGCACCTTGCCCTGAACGTACTGTAGCTGGTGGCATGCCAGGCGGGCTTCCAGGCTCCTGCGGTGTTGGGCCCCCCTCGACCGTGACAGGGGTAACAATGGGACCAGGGGTCGTCAAAGCAGTAGCCCCAGCGCTGACGTTCTTATCAGTACCAGGAGGGGCAGCAGCACCAGGAGCTGCAGTTGGGGGCATGGCCGTGCTTGCGGTTATTGTCACATCAGCCATGACTGGTGACGCTGCTGGACCAGGTGGCTCCACAATGACCATTTGGCTACCGGTGGATGTTGGAGCATCTGGGGGCTTATATGGGATGTAGGTCACTGTGAATGCTGGTTCAAAGGGTGGGCACGCAAAGTCGAATTGGCACCAATACGAGCCTGCAAGGAAGACCTTGGTGCTGCATTGAGGCGATTCCTCTGAGCACGCCACATCGACTAAGCACACAAACACACATGTCTTCCCCCTGGAGGCACGATCCACTGGCTCCTCTAACGATGCACCAGGTTCGCCGGTGGCGGGCGCCTGGGCTGCCGCACTTGCATCAGCTTTTGCTGCATGGTTTCCTGGACATGGAGGGGTGGTCTTGGGGTCCTTGGCCTTTGACTTATTCTTTGAACGCTTCTTGGGTCGCTTAGACTTCTTGGGAGGCCCCACACATTCATCATCTGATGAATTCGATGGAATCGACGCCATCTTGACTTTGGTGGACACTGGCTGGTGCTGCACTGAAGAAGGATCCTTGCGACCGGATTGGGTTGTCAGCAAGAAGTCAAACGCCACTGGTGGATAAGGGCTGCTCTCAGGTGCTGACTTGGGGTAGACAGACACTTCATTGTAATCTGCTCCAAAAATAGCACCCAGCAGATTAGCAAACAGCGTCCGCTCGTGACAGTCAAGAAAGAATTAAGTTGGGCGAATTCTCCAACAAGTGGTTGTAACCAAAGACGCTACAACACAAGGAATTCTTGGGTACAAGCAGCTATGACAATACATTAATAGTTACGATTACGCTGGAAGTGGAACAGAAACAAAAGCTAACAAATAGCAATAGTCTCAATATGATACAGCACTGGTAGGAATTGCAAACTAGTGCACAGCGTTATCCCCAGGCAGATTTCATCGCTTGATGCCCTGATCGTGTTATGTCGATTAGCACACAGGACAATTCTACACTGTAATGGCAACGTTGGGGATTGGGGCTAATGCTCTCATTCTTGGTGGATGATTCACACAAACCAATTCCTGCATAGGCGTGTTTGATTTCCTTGACAAGGGTCAACTAAAAGCCGCACAGCCCCAGCATAGGCTACTAGATTCTCCACAGGCCGTGCCTGCCACAGTCCGGAACGTCAACAAACATCTGCTGCGAAAACAGACCACCATGCCTGCATGGTTACATAGCCAGGTCCGGTCATGCCTGCGCTCGAAGCCTTGCACGATCAACGTGCCTGGGGCAGCCAACACAGAATCTAGCTTTTTTGCGACAGCCAAATAAAGAGCGACGGTGAGGGGAATATAATCGAGGGTTACAGTGCAAAGAAGCACTTGGCAATTCCCCTTCGGGTGGCAAATACGACCCCCGTAGTCATTTTTCTGCAACCCTGGTCCTTTTAGCAGTTTGGCTTTTCTGGCCCGGGGTGCAGTAACTGTAGCTGCTATGAATGCTGTGGCAGTCAGCAAAAACACCAGGCGAGAAGTTAGATCAGCTGCCGCTGGCTTCATGGGCATGCGCAGCAATTCGACAAATCCATGCACAGCAGAGCAGGCTTACGCCCAGCACTTCATCGCACCCAGGGCAGCGCCTATGAGCCCCAGCCCTGCGCCTCGACCGCGGACGCAGAACCAAGAACTTCAGTCCGAACATTTCCACCTCCGGGGGACGCCGCAACCGGCCACTTCAGGCACCGCCCGCCTTTCCAGCAGAGCGACAGACGACGCCCTTGCCAAGACGGCTCCGCCCTCGTCTGTTCCAAAACGCAAAATCGACTTTTGGTTGGGAGACCCACGCCCGCCGAAGAGAGGCAGCAAAAGTGCCACGGGGTTCCCGCCCACAGTCGATCACCAACGGCGCCGCCAGAATCTCCAGCCCGTCCACAGCCGCCTGACCTCCTGATTGTGCCATTAGCGTTACTGAAGTGCGCCCATCTTCACCTTCGGCTCCTTGGTGCTGCTCCTGCTGCCCGGCGCCCACCGCGCAGGTGCCCGCCAGGGCCATCAGCCACAGCAGCGCGCTGGAGCAGTCCACCGTCCCCCGCATCGCGCCAGCGCGACGCGCGGCGGCCCGGTCCCTCGTCAGGCCTCCATCTGCAGGGGCCGTGGGCCGTCGTAGTGTCTTTTTCGGCGCCGGCGCGAATCGCCCTCCCCTTCAAAGCACTCTTCCCCGGGTGGCTTCCGTCCTGCTAGCGGCCAAGAAGCCACGTCGCTTAGTCAGCGGATGAGTGGCCCTCACTATGCGAGCGATTAAGCTTCCCACATTCTTTCTCCCTCTTCCCAAAAAGCGTCCTCAATCAGCGCGGGTTCAGCGTGGGCGCCTCGTGCCCGCGAGCCCCACTTGACCGCTGAGGGGGTCGGACGCAGTGCGCACGGCAAGTGACTAGGTCCCTGATTTGTTTGTTTTCCATGGTGCTGGAGAAGGGGGATGGCGAGAGCTCGCCGACCGGCGCAGGGCTGGGCAAGCCTGCGCGACCGCAGCTTGGAGTCTTTCGCTGCATGCGGCGGGCCCTGGCGCTGGGCTCCAAAGCCCCAGCCCCGGTAGCTGTTTCTCGTGCGTTACGTGAGCATGCGCAGTAGTGCCGCGGACGGGTGGAGCGCCGGTAGCGACACACTGGCGGAAACGCACGAAGGCACGCAAAGGCTTAGAACATTTTTGCCAGCGCGACACTCAGCAGGGCGCTTGAATCTGGTGGCGATAGGCTTGCGCGCCTCCAAGGCGTGCGCTTGTCACTGAAGAGCTCGCATGAGATGTAATTCGCGTATCGCAGCTCATCCTCCGGTTGTGGCCCGCTGGAACTGTGGTCGAACCAGGAAGATGGACTGCAGCAGAGCAGTTTTGGCAGAAACGCTGGGAAGAGTGGCTATTCTAAACTGCAGCGAAACATCCCAGACATTGTACACCCTCATATGCAGCAGACCAGGGCTTGACTTGAGAGGACAGGGCCATTGGGTTGGTTACGAACCCCTCTCTTTGTATATGGAGAGTGTTGAGAGGGTGCAATGGCAACCCTCCGTCTTGGAAACCGGGATGGGAGCTCAAATCCAGCAGAGAGCTCTGCACTGGAGCTGGGGATATAGCTTGCTGGAAGCATCTGCAGAACATAAGACATCTGATAATTATGAGGCTGCGACCATCAACAACAGCACCGTGCAAGGCACAAGACACTGAATGGCGCTCTTGAATTGATGCTAATCTGCAGGACACAGGCAGCCCCGCACGCAACTTTTGGTTCAGGGTCCCCTTGCTGGTAGGGTAAGCGTCCTGGCCAAAAGTTCAGCAGGTGGCGCCCCAAGGAAAGCACTTATCCTCTCATTACATTCCAAATACATTCTTTGTAATATTGGCAAGATGCACAGCCAGCTAACAGCCTGTCAATTCACAACTAACCGCCCACAATCGCCTGGCCACTTCTTTTTCTTTCGATTTTTTGGTGGAGTCTGCTGGTTTGCAGGAAATGAAGTACTTCCCAGTGACCCCTTCAACCTTGGGAGATGTGGCCAAATAGATGCTCGTCTGCGCGCCTTCCTCAGGGCTCTTGATGAAATTCGCAGTCAGAGTGTTGAGCGGCTTCATGTACCAGGCATTGGGGTCTGGCACAATGTGTCTGCGAGACATGTTGGGGTTAGAGTGCTGGAAATGTTCCACAAGTTCGGATTTTTATGTGCACAATTAACATTTACATACATTTGCCTTGGGACTTGACAAAACAAACTGCCCAGGCAGCTACGGCAGCACTCCATTGGAACCACCTCCACTCCAGTGTCCGACCTTCCTCTTTTGCACGATGGCACATTGGGCAGGAATCGCTGTGCGCCGCTCAATTGTGTCCAGCACCAAGGAATTGCCTCTAGCAGTGTGCTATCCCACATGCTGTTATCATGTGCACCAGTGTCTTTCAACGATCCAAGGCGCAGAAGCAACTATGCCAAGACAAGCAATTTGCACATACCTTTGCAGTTCTGTCTTGACCATGCCTGGGTGCAAACAGTTTGTGGCAATTTTGTCTTTGGCGTTCAGCCTTCTGGACAGCTCGTAGGTGAACAGTATGTTGGCCAGCTTCGACTGGCCGTAGGCTGCCCATCGCTGGTACCGCTTCTCGAACTGGAGGTCGTCGAAATTGATCGTTCCGAACTTGTGAGCCTCCGACGACACATTGACGATCCTTGCTGGCCTGAACAGCACATTGCAGCCATTGCAGCCAATCTACGGGTGTCCAGTCTACTCTGGTCAAAGCTGATGTCCTGGCATACATTTGGCCAATAGAAATGCCACATGGGTAGTGAGCAGAGTGAATGCCGATGAGTACGCATGCTGGAATCTGTGCTGTAGATGTAATTATGGCCTCGATCGCCATGGAAGGACAGGGAGTTGTTGTCACAGATTCGGCTGATCTTATCAATGGATGGCCTCCACATTGGTCAGGCTTCGTGTCAAGACAGGAAGGGAATTCTGACAGATTCTGAGTGCAGCCTGCAAAGCCGGCACAGCTTGTTGTCTGGCCACCCTGTGGACCAAAGATTCCACTGAATACTCTAATTTTACCATTCCACCTGCGTCGGTCAAGGCGTGGTCCCTCCGCTGTGTTGAAGGATCCCTCTTCAACATCTGGGATGGGGGCCACTGCTGGCCTGTACTGTTCTTGCCAGTGAACAGTATAATCTTTTTGCCGGAAACTTATCAAATTGCAGATTTTTGTTGGCAATTTTATGCACACATTGTGTCGGGCTGCAGCACCAACATGACTACAGGCGGGTTTTCGGCTTTGAGAGGTTGGAGCTTCTGGACAGTTGGGACAACACTGTGCATTCACTGTGCATCAGATGCACTGATGCGTACGTTGCCCTTCATCACTTTACTAAAGGTCTGGGTGACTGATTTGTCAATTTCAACAAAATGCAATTATGGAAACTACACAATCAGTCTCCTTGTTCCAAGCAGATCTATTTGAACGACGGCAGAAGTATTTGCAATTGTGATACGTACCGGTCTTGATCCCTCATAAGAGGCAGCAGTAGATTGGTCAGAAGAAAATGGGACAGGTGGTTCACACCAAACTGGTACTCAAAGCCATCCACAGTGGACATCTGTGCACATGCCATGACTCCTGATATTCACACACATACACACAGTTACAGCACCATTTCAGCGGCTTCAGCGTATTCAGCCAAATTCAGTACCATGGAAGGTGAAAATTAAGGCGGCAATCCACTGTGGTGAACAAGAGTAGAGGCTGCAGCGCCACTGCATGGCAATGTCAGCTGCATCTGTGTATTGGTTGGCAAAGCGACTAACCCTTTCCCATGGTACCAGGCATGTTGTGGCTGTTTAGAAAACTGCCCAATATTGGAGCACCTAATTCCTCTGTTGATTAGTCACCGGCTTACCCAACCTGTCATTCTTATGGCTGTATTGATTCGTCCATCGGAACAACTGAGTTTCAGGATTCAATGACATGTGAAAGTCCAGTGGCAGGTGAATGCACCCCAAACGTCACTCCAGAACACAATGCATTGAAAGTTGCACCAGTACCATAAAACACTTTGATGGGCAGCATCATTGATGGAAGGCGGACACACCAAAACGAGTGATTGTATGTCTAAAACCATGAGCTGCACGGACAACCCACTGCATCAAGTTGCGCTCGGTGTTCACTTTCTGAAAGCTGTTTCACAAGCACTTTTCCCACTAGTTCAGTAAACTTCACAATAAACGCAAACCAGTACCCTAAACTAACGCAAAGTATTGCGCTTGCCTAACACATCTTCCAGCAAAGGCCACGGCACCCACATTGTGTCCGCGATTGGAGGCCCGAAAGCAATTGCCCGCCACCAGGTCTCTGCGGCCCCTGGGCGCGGTCCACGGGGCGACCCGAGGAAGTTAATCCGAGAATATGCCGCCAGCACGTCGGTATGAAATGTTCCCCACCCGCGTTGTTGACGACGACGTCCAGCGGGGCCCCCGAGTCCAGGACGCGGCTGGCGAAGTCCCTGACGGTCTTCAGATCCGCCAGGTCCACGTATGCGGCCTCCACCTTGGCACTGGGCACGGCGTCCCTGCGCGCGTACCCCCAAACGATGAGCGTACGGGACAAAACAACCAGGGGACGTCAAATCTCCGCCGGAACCAAACCGGCAGCCCAATTGCTGCACCGATGAAAAACTGGGTGCAGCGTCAATTCGAGCGCGCCCTCATGGCGGCGGGGGCGTCGCTCCCGATCGGCCGAACATCGACAGACCCCCACGGCGAGGTTTTGAGTATGCGGCAGCTGATCGCCGACGGACTTGGTAGAGGGACTCCGCGCCTACTTGATTCTTTGCTTCGCCGCGGCGGCCTTGTCCATGTTCCTGCACGCGATGAGCGTCCTGTACCCCTGGGCGCACATGGCCTTGGCGGTCTCGAAGCCAATCCCGGTGTTGCCCCCCGTCACGAGGGCCGTCATCTCCCCATGGGGCGCCATGCCTGCGGCGGCCCCCGTCGCCGCGGAGCGATGGCTCCGCAGGTCCTTTGTGAGAAGTGTTCCCGCTGCCGCTCCGCCCGTCCCGGCGTCCTTGCGGAGGGGCGACTTTCGACGAACGCACCAGTGGCCCGCTGGGCATTAGCCGCCCGGCCAAATTCGCGACCTTGTGAATGAGTGGCGATGAAGCGCACACATGTGCAGGCCAGATCAGCATGGTGCCCTGCTGCCGCGGCGGGCCCAGCGCACAGCCCAGGCACACCGCTGAATCGCCGAACTGCCCAACTGGCTCCTGCGAAGGGGCTGCGCAGGCCGAAAACGTGGCTGAATCCCGCAAGACGATGCAGATCCTGCCGATCGAGGTGATGGCAAGGGAGGACGTCGGGCGAAGGATCGGTGGAGGTCTGTTGAACCTGGATAGGCCTGTCATCCTGTCAGAGGTGCGAACGGAGTCTTGTATGCTTTGTTGGGTGATTGGCATACAGAACGCCGTGTCTGGGCGCGTGTGGAGGGTGGACTGAAAATACGGGAAGCAGTGACGTGGGCAACCCTGACAACCACGCTGCCGTGCATTGCGTTGCCCCCATCTTTTGCAACGCTTCTGCTCGCTCCGTTTGTTGAAAGCTGTGGCGACGGCACGTTCGGCCAGGGTGGACGCTTGTTGCAAGGCAGGCAACTCGGCATCGGTGAAGAGATTGGAGAAAGTTTTGGCGGTGCCATATTGTCCACTGCCCCCAGGAAATTGAGCAGACAGATTGCGCATTCTTTAAACAATGCAGCGGCTTTCTTTGATATGGGCACTGCATCTTGTTTCCATAATTTATTCCGGTGCGTTCAGCCCGACGATGCCATGGAAATATGGGGATCTGGCTGACTCAGTGCACAGACATACTGCAGTCTAGAGCTGCCGCTCTTATTTCTCATTAACAACAGCAAAAACCATAGCATCAAGTATTTGAGCGATCATCACACTGTGTTTTGTCGCAGCATAGTAGTCGGCAAGTGCGCATTTTTCTTTGCTAACAGTTGTCCCATCGATTGAACACTCCACTTGCACCCGCTAGGCAACGCTGGGTACCTTCACAGCGCACATGGTAACTTGTGGTATGTGTTCTCCACGTGTGCATGAGCAGCTCACGCAGCCCATCTGGCAGATTTTGATGCCAGCTGAACAACATTCCCCCACTACATGCATTGAGCACAAGGGTGCTGAACATGATGCAGCAGACTGCCTTCACCGGTTCTTCTTTCTTCATTCATGCAGGGATGCTGTCAGGAATGGGGAATCATGCTCTGGAAACCAGAGGTCCTTGCAGACCAGTATGGTGAAGTAAAGGTTGAAGTGAGGCTGGCGAATAAGCAGGTGCTCACGGACTGCACTGGGCAAGGGCTTCTGCCATTGGGACCTGTGTTTGTGCAATGGATTTGGAGAAGACTATTTGTATGTGCCAGTCCCTAACTGCAAAAACAAATCCTGGCTTCATTTCTCAAAATATGGCAGCTCACTGCCCTTGAACCTGTGAAGCGCTGTCCGCATCTGCAATGTTTCTCCCTAAACTGTAAAATCTTGAAGCACATGTATCAAAAAGCGACAGAACACAGCGTTTGTGACTGCGAGGCCATGTTGGGCACATGCCTCCACACCAAATGTTCATAGCACTACCTCCATAAACGCCCAAGCTCAACACCCAAGTTCAGCGCGCAAGTTCAAATTATATCCATTGCCACCCACTGGGAGTGTTGCTATTATGGTTGTGATCCTGTTCACCTGTGAACAGCTATTGGAATCGCCGGTGGTCTGTCTGCATATTATGCATATCTTACCTCAGTTGTGCTGGCAGAAGAACTATTGCATAGCAAGATGGTATGTTGTGGTATGACGTGTCAATTGAGACAGGAACGTCGTGCACTTGTGTCAAGGTTTCCATGTGACTGTGGCTTTTCCTTCCTTGGACATTCACAGGTGCAGAGCACAACCTGCGCTGGTTCACAGTGGAGCAGGTGCCTGTCTGGGGAAGGGCAGGGAGGCCTCCATGCATAGGCCTGGCACCAGATCTGGATTAAACAATGTGAATCAGTGAGCATGAGGTGGTAGTTGTCTGTTGCTAACATTATCTCTGATGCTTCATGCAGGAAGTGCAACCCCCTTGGGAAGGGGACTGCAGATATCAGATGTGCACATTCAGCCAGTTTGCAGAATGGCTGAAAACAGGGAATCAAGGTAAGCAGCCCAGGAGAATTGTGCTGTTTATATCCCAGACACAATGGTGCCTCTGTTTCTTTCTTGGGTGAGATGGAAAGACTCAAGACTCGAGACTCAAGACTTGCTGCAACAAAAAGTGCAGTTCCCTTAAACACAGTGAAGACAAGAAACTTGAGAGGAGGCACCAGCACAATAAAAGCATGCGGGTGCTTTTGCGGTGCTGTTGCACATATGGCAATGGGCATCTGTTGCTTGGCTGCATTGTTGTTGAACGCCAAACTCAAAATGGTGATGTTGACTTTGCAGCTCACGGGCACAATGACATTGGCATTGGTGGTTTATGCACAGGTGGTGGACATGGGAGCCCACAGGTCGACAGTGAACATCCCTTAGCTGGATTCAAGTTTGCTGATTGGTGGGCCTACGCAGACTACAAATATTTCCCTCAGGTGTTTTGCTCTTGTCTCCTGTTTTCTGGGTGGGGTTTGGTCAGTCGGTAGCAAATCCATCCAAGCGCTGGTTATTTTTTGAAGGTCACGTATGGTGTGCACGTATGTGGTGTGGTTGCTATTCAGATCACAGGCATGTGCTGCTTGTGTATTCATATTCCAACCTATTGCACATTGCGTATCAGCTCCTGCATGATGGCTTGTGTGCAAGGACTATTGCTGTGTGTTAGGCAAGCTTCTTAGTAGCCTTTAGCGTGTCGGCTGTGATCGTCTTTTCTGGGTATGTGTGACGTCCTGCCCAGACTCTGAACAACTGTGTTGGAACCTTGGGGCGTTTTTCCTGCAGATGTTTCCCAACCCTGAAGACCCAGCTTATACTTCTGTGGACTGGGCGTCGCTTGGATTGCCTGTTGGGCCTGAGGAGACCGTGTTTTGGATGGGCACAGGGGGTGCGTCCACTCCATTGCACTTTGACACCTATGGCCAGAACGCCATTTTACAGGTGATTGTGCTGCAAGCCATGTGCAGTTCTCTGTTGAGGAAGTACATGAGATGGGGACTTACCAAAGCAGGTCATTGATCATCGATGGGCTCTCCAAGGTGCCATGCTCATGATATGCTCATGATAGTGATTGAACATGTAAATGTGGCGCCCGATAAATGGTAATATATTTGCCCCTGCCAAAACACTTGGGAATGCAGGCTTGGTTCCCAATTTAGTATGTGGCACATTGCCGGTGAACGATTGTTAGTGGTTGAACATGGCTTGAAGCATGGATTCACAGGTTATGATGCGGTCAGTTTATACCATAGCATGAGGCGTGCAGTTCCATGGATTGCCATTGTCAAAGATGCATCACAACTACACTTGATTAGTGTGAATCAATATCCCCAAAATTAGTACTTACCCCATACACGATGGGTTAGCATACAGCTGACACTTCATCTGACTTCCCCAGTTCCTGTCGCCACAGCAGAGGCGACCACTTTCTTCAACAATGAGCAGTTTCCTCTTGCAACTGTACTGCTACAGGGCGCGTTGGGCATGGTGTAGGTATATGGCAAAAAGCAATGGACGCTTTTGCCGCCAGAGGCGAGTCGTGTGCTGCAGCCCTCAAGGATCCCATTTGAGGAGTCGTCAGTGTATTCACAGGTGTGACTGAGTGATATCGAGTGTGGCATTCGACAAATGGTGTACAACGGTGGTTCAACTTGGGCTGTTGAAGACTGGCCTGAGGCTGGTAATTTGGTAGAAATTGTGCTGTTCGGCTGCTGGGTGTTCGATCTAATAATGATCGGGTGCAGGAATCTAGAATGGACCTGCGCTCTCTGCTCATAATTTATATTCGACGCAACGTGATTGTGAGCACATATTACACATGTTAGTGTTGAAGCACACAATCAACTAGCAAGAAAGCGGACTAACGCCTATGACCAAGAGGAAACTTACAGACCCCACAAATCTAAGGCATACACAATCTGCTGTGCACCATCCTACGTGCTCAGCCATGTGACTTCAACTCATCCCCCAGGTGTTGATATCAGAGCTGCAACACTTGACTTAATGTCACTGTGTGTATTCGTATGGCATTGGCATTGCTGTCTTGATTTTCTTTTTTTTCTGAGCAAACTTCACTGTCTGTATTCAGATGCCCCTACAGTGATATACAGTGATAGATGATGCTCGACTTGTTGACCAGTCTGATTTACTTGCCCCATTCGCGGTGAACATGCTGGCTGTCAAGTTGGGTAAAACGGATTCCTGATAGCAGGGCACATTTTGTTCATTTCTTCACTTTTTAATTGATACTTGGGAGTTGAGTTCCACCTCTTGTCCTTGTAGAAGACAGGCAGGTTGATTGCCATCGCTGAAGCCACGGGATGCAAGGCCCAAAAATGGATTGTTCACAAGATGAGGAGTGTGGCAGCTTGACACGAGCCCAGTTCCGTGCTCAGGAACCCAACCAGATTCTGCATCAGCACAAATTGTACATAACACAGTGTACTGTGCTGTGGTGAGATGGTCAGGAGGAAATAACCCTGTTGGACTGTGTGCTCCACAGGTAGATTTGGACAGCCTGTTGAAGGAGAGGGCTGACAACAGTCCGCCATGTTGTGCTTACCGTGCTGATCTTTGCCCTGGCCAGCTGCTCTTTGTGCCTCGGCACTGGTGGCACCAAGTGAGGTGCCTAGAAACGGCAATCAGTGTGAATGTGTGGGTAGATCATGAGCACGACACTGAGGTGCGTCCTTGCAGCCTAAGTAGGTTTAAAACTTTGATCAAATTTGCCAAAGAAACTGGCAATTCAACTCTTGCAGTTTCAAGGCCATCAAGGCGCAAAGCTAGTGGAACCCTGAAGCCACCTTGACGATGTCCACTTGCCAGTTGTACCGCTTGTAGGCTGATCGCAGGATCAACGCCAGCACCATTGCAATGATGCTCAGTAGCGTACAAAAGTCACTTGTTGAGAGGCTTGGCTTCCGACGTTGTTGTATGGAACATCTTCTGGCAATGCGTGTGCCACCCTGTACATATCTATATCTGCATCACCCTGCTGTCATTGTACAGTGCTGTCTATGTAGCGGGTGCCTACTAGCTATGTGGCGCTTTTACTAGGTTGCAATAATGTCGTGGTGCTGGCGAAGGCAACATGTTGAAATGCTTTCATTCAGTCTGAGTTGCTCTTTTTGAGCTTTGGGATATCCTAGCCATGTGGTCGCTTTCCAACTCCAGATAGGGCACCACATGTCCTCATTCATTGAGAAAGCTATCAGACCTTTGCAACTGGCAAGGGTTAGCCATCCAGCTCATCAGTTTTCTAATACCATGAAAGGATTGATGCAAACTTATCCATTGCTCATCTCAATCCAGCACGTGATCCCTTCCCGTCCTTGGCAGCAGGACTTGACCAGAGGGCATTGTAGAACACATACGCATGTGCTCATCAAATACACCCTGATAATTGTGCCGAAAGCTGGATCTCCAGAATGACTGTGCTCATTCTGGCTCAGTGTTTTAGTGCATCAATAGTTGTCATGCAGTTGGGTTGGGTATGGGTGCAGCCCAGTTGCATCTCCGCAACATATATCTGATATGGTGGTGCACTGACACACTGATGAACAACGACAGGAGACTGTGCGAGAGGCTTTGGCTCGAACAGTCATCACCTCTTTTCATGTTGCGAGCGTTTGGGAGGGGGGCGGGTCCCAGGAGGTGCCACGTGAGGTCCCTCGAAACCCTTGGCTAAATCCCAATGAGGTGACGATGGGTATGAGGTCGGTGTTGGAAATGGTGGCAACGTCCGTGGAAGCTCTGGAGGAACGTCATTCACAGGGGGATAGTGGTGGACGAGTGGCTGAGGCAGAAGAAGGTAAAGTGGTGCACTGCACTCAGTAATGAATCACTATATCATGGTAGAGCACGCAGTGCTGAAATAATTCCAGAGCTGCCTGCATTGTTTGCCCAGATCACAATATAGTGGCACCTCAAAGGTTGTAATGGGGTGAGCCACTGGTAATGGGATCTGTTGCTCAGCAAGTGCACCACTTTACAGCTCGGCCAGTGCTTGAATTGCTATCCTATCCCCATGAACGAAATTTGTTGGTGCAATTGTGTGGTCTGCCACAGCAGTTCGAAAATGCCAGGTCTGACGCCTGTTAAGCACACTGGTTCCATCGCTGAGAATCGTGAATGCGGTTGTGCAGGCAAGGGAAGGTTGGGCATGGGAGGGCCCGACGGTGGAGCAAGTTGCCGGGTTGGTGGCCCTGGATCCGTGCAAATTGAAGACCTGGTGCAGGCTTTTTGCCATCCCGACGTCTTGCTGAAGGCTGCCCAAGTTCTGCTTGAATCTAGGTCGCGTTCCTCCAGGTTGCGGCGAACAATGCGGGATTCATGTCGTGACACAGCGCATAGGAGCAGCACTTGAATGCACGTGCGTGAATGAATGAATGCCGTGGCTCCTGAGATAACGTTGATTGTGTGAGGGTCTTGCTGTAAAGCGCGTGGCAAGCTACAGGACTGAAGCAATTCTCAGTTTCTGTTGATCTTGGAGGGAACTGTGCCATGCATTCATCAAGGACTTTCAAGCCGAAATGATTGCATCAGGGTGCAAGAATGTGCCTGTGGAGAAGGAAGCATCAGTGTGGGGCACTGCATTTCTATACGTCCAATGAAAATGCTCGATTCTACTGGTGCAGCGGGCAGTGCGTTTTTATAACCAGCCTTGATGCAAGCCCTGCATTTCATGCCTTACTAAGCAGAGACAACGATCGGGCAATGAGGCAGGCTTCTCCAAGAAGCGCAGAACACACTGCAGGTTACAAGGCCATGCAAACCGCTGTCAAGCCGTTGTCAAGCCGTTGCACGTGCACATCAAGCCCGACCACGATCGCACCCCCAGGCTGGGCACAATTGTGGCATCCCCTTTGTCCTGGGGGATAATGGAACATCCAGGGGGACAAAGGGACAAACCGCGGGCCACAACAAACAACATCTGACCCTGCGGCTCCCGACACGGCACTGGTCCCGACGGGACAGGTCTTGGAGGTGCGAGGCCTCGGAGCAGCGTGCTCAGCTGCGAGAGGATCCGCCCCGCGCGGCGACCCGCCCGACGCAGCGCAGTGGCATCCCCTCAGCCTGCACGGCCTAACCCCGTCCCTCGCGGTGCCCGCTGCCGGCGATCGGCGACACCCGGATGGGCCTGCGTGGTGAGTTGTCTGTTGCTTGCCCACCAGCTGGCACACGCAGCCCTCAACATTACCGCCCCGAGCGAAAGGCCAACCTGACAGAGTTGTTCTGCAGGCTAGATTCCCAAAGGCCCAGTGCATTCGCTCGAGTGTCGCCCACGACGAGGACCAGCGACGCAGTGATGGGTCTAACGGGAAATGTCCCAAGCAGGCATGCTTGGCAGAGGTAAACTCAGCCTGTTCCGCGCGGCGACCTGCTGACCGCAGCGGAGCAGCGGGGGTCCGGCCTGCGCTGCCCCTCCCTATCGTTCAGTGACCCCAATGCTGACAAGTGGCCACACCGGGATCACCATGACCGCTGCGTCTTTTCTGGCCAACCCTGGGGAGCGTAGAGGGTGTGGCTCGTGCGAGCCGCATCCTTTGCCCTCTGTCGTTTCGAGCTCCCACGGCCACCGCTACTGCGCCCGGCCTCTTGTGCTGTAACCGTCCAGTTGGATTCGTCCTGCCTGATGATCGTCGACCAATGCTTTGCCTCTGGCCTGGTTTGTTCCCAGTGCGCTGCTCGTGGCCGGCTGCGGGCGGTGGGAGGCCAAGCGTCACACCAAGTGCCGAATGCCGGATTGCCAGAATTTGTGCTGGTGACGAGACGAGTAGCTTCTCGCACAGTGCCCTCCACTTCGTCGTCCACACCTGTTGGCCATCGTTACACGCCTCACACGGCCTTGCAAGGCCAAACTTGCTGCGTAGCGGCCCAGTGCCCTGATAGCCAACCCCCTTGCGGCTGCGTCCTGCTCTCCGTTTGCCGTGCGACTGGTGCGTGCTGTGGCACACATCCCCACTTCCTGTGTTCGACCCTGCCGCCCCTGCCGTTGGGGGCCCAAAGCGGCTTCTGGTCTGATAGGCTCGCAACCCCTTGCCTCAAGGCAGTGTGCTCTGACTGCAGCTTCCTTCACACTGACGGGGACGTTGACTTGGAAATCAAGATCAGGGACAGCCGCACCTTGCGCTGCAACACAATCGGCGGCTCCTCATGAATTCCACGCTCGCCCAACCACGAGTGTGCCTTCAGTACAGCTGTTCACGCCCACAATCCGCCCTCGATCTCGCCCTCATCTTGGCCCCGATCTCACCCAAATTGGGGACGTGTCCCAGCGGCGCACAACGGCAGGTGGGAGGCGGAAGAGGGGAGGCGGGAGGCGGGAGAGGTTTGGCGGGAGGCGGGAGGCGCATCGTTAATCGCCTCAGCACGTGTCACGGTAGGTATCCCAGCAAGTGTCCCAGGACGCGTCGCAGTGGCGTCCTGGTGGGCATCCCAATGGTGTTCCATAGTGTTTGGAATTGATTGTCCACGGTCCCACGTCCGCAGAATCCCAGAACCTGAAAGAGAAAGAAAATGGGATAACGTGTCCCAGAGAACCGCCTTTCACACCCACAGCCCCCCAACGTGCATCTCGCGTCTTAGTGTTGGCCATCAGCACGGCAATGATGGCCTCTCGCATACACCATTCTAGGCAGCACAGGGTGTGGCTGTCCCTGATGTTAATTTCTTGCATCTGTTGGCATGTTTGTCTTTATAGTGTATGTGATATGTTTTGAATCTGTTGAGAACTAGAAATGAAGGAGGTTAGTAGGGGTGGTGTTAAATAGCAGGAGCTTTGGGGTGGTGGCTGGGTGGCTGGGTGGCTGGGTGGGCAGGGGCCTCGTGTAGGAGCTGTCCGTTGTGGATTACATGTCATACAATGACAATACACATCCCTCGCACCTGATTGGTGATGAAGGGCATGAAAACCAATCAGATTGTATGTTCGAAATTGATTGTCCATGGTCCCACGTCCACAGAATCCCAGAACCTCAAAAAGAAAGAACAAAGGAGAATGTGTCCCAGAGAACCGCCTTTCACACCCACAGCCCCAACGTGCATCTTGCATCTCAGTGTTGGCCATCAGCACAACAATGATGGCCTCTCATATGCACCATTCTAGGCAGCACAGGGTGCGGCAGTCCCTGGTCTTAATTACTTGCATCTGTTGGCATGTTCGTCTTTTGTAGTGTATGTAATCTGCTTTGAATCTGTTGAGTACTGGAAATGAAGGAGGATAGCATGGGTGGTGTTCAACGGTGGGTGGTTCATAAATTTGGGGGTAATATTTGGGTGTTTGGGTGGTTGGTGGCCTAATTTGGGAGCTGCCAATTCTGGTGCGGCACAAGTTGCAAATCTGTCAAACGTTAAGTCGACCGCGTGCGCCATGGCGTGTCTGGCATTGGCATGCCGCCCAGGCCGACGCCTTTTTTGTGACTACATTGGCATCCAATGGAGAGTAATACCATTGATGTCAATTCAAACTCAAAGCGGCGCACTCCAGCCTGGGGTCTCCAGTTTGCACGAAATGCCGCAAAGGGCGCACAGGAACTGAAGGAGCAGAGAGTGCCCTGCGAGGCGGGGGAGGGCGGGTGGCGGCTTCAGTTCGTCGATTTCTTTTGGGGGTTTCTAACTCCCATCGTTGTGCCTTTCAGGACCGATGAATATGGCGAGGGGCCAGGTTGCCAGCGAGGAGGAATAGCGAGATCTAGGATGAAGACGAGCAAGATCAAGGGAGAATGTTGGCGGGGGCGGGGCGAGATCAACGGTGAGTGCGTGACTGCTCTTGAGGGCGGGGGTGGGCGAGATCAAGGCCAAGTTGGTATGTCGGGGATAGCAGCGTCAATTTAAAGCGTTTTGTTCTGTCCTTGGAGGGGTGGCAAGATCGAGGGCGAGGAAGGGAGATCGAGGGTACCCCTTGGAGCTGGACAGCGTGGCAGCAAGCTTGTTGTTCCTTAAGGGACTAGGACTTGGATGCTGGCACAAACAGGTAAGAGTCCGGGCCTCAGCGGCTGCGGCAGGTCAGTGTGTTTGGATTCACGGCCACCAGTACCCGGATTGCGCAAGGACAGCAGCGCCCAACGCTGTGCCAATCGACACAGGAGCAGCAGATGTCTCGAAGCAGATTTTAAGACCACGCTGTTTGTTCGTCCGCTGCAGATGTCGTTGCCGTAGATTGTCGTCCAGAAGCCGGTTCCAGCGGTTGGCGTACGGGCAATAAGTGAGTGTATGAGGGCTGGTGCAGGGCGAGCAATGGCGTGATCCGGGAGTGGAAACTAGAGGAGTTCTGCTTGAGCGTGTGGCGAGGGTCGATCGTTTGTGCGTGGGTGTGGATGTGGGCGCTCGTGATAGGCGTTTCTCTGTGTGCTCTCCCGACTCTTACTTGTAATTCAAGCCTATTTGTGCCAATCTTGTCCCTCTCTCGTTCCTTGGATCCATGCGATAGTGCGCGTTTTACCTCGTATTGTGAAGGGGGTAAAAATACGGCGAATAATACGGCAGATTTTTCACAATTACAACCTCCATAACGCGTAATTTCAATCAATTATATCTGTGTGCGATGTCATAGCTATCTATCTCAACAGCAAGGGCTAGCTCATGAATGTCGGGAATCTCGTTATCAAACCACAACAGGGCATCAGGGTGACAATTGCCCGCCACATGCACATCCCTGACCCAGAGCGCAGCGTTCATTATTGTGGCCTCAACAACGTGTATTTCAATTGGCCTGTATAACACCTCTGAAATACGTATTATGACTAGTGGATCATAATTTTCTTACCAAAGTATACGTATTGTGCGTATTCTCAAATAAGATCCAGCCATAATTGCCAACCCTACTAACATGGAGCAATGATACCCGCCGCATTCCTCTGCGGGTTTCAATACGATGAACTCATCATCACGGCTGTGTGTGTATCCTCATTGCCACAATTGTTCCGGAAATACCTAACGTCACTTTCAAATTGAAGCCACCCGTCCACTGTTACCATACATTCAGCTCGATATAACGTATAAAGTGTAACGTACAACGTATAAAGCTACAACCATAATATTGGCGCCGTCTTGAGCAAACAGGTGTGTAGGCAACATGCATAACAGCAACATATGGAGTGCCAACGGGTGGCCACCGCAATTTCGACACACCGCTGAACTAAGAGCGGCATGCCAAACCACGACCAGGAAAGGCCTTGAAGGCGGCTGTAGAAGATAGCATAATTTGATTATAAGCTGAGTGACATGAATGATCTTTTCCGAAATGTTGTTGTTTCTTCGTATTCTGTCCATGCCTTTAGCAAAACCCCAAAATGCACATATTTTGCGCATTCCGTATTGAAATTGCCACCGCAGAATCCTCAAAATGTGGCCCTCTTTAAGTTGTTTTCATGCTCCAGAGCAACCAGTAAAACGTCCATTGTGTATTGATTATTCAAGTTGTATCTGCAGCTTTCACTTTGGAGGGCCTTTGCAAGGATTTGGGGGATGAAACGCTGAACGGCGTTGAGATTGATGAGCTGGCAGGCAGAGCTCGCTTTGCCGGAGGTGGGTGTTTCAATACTATTTTGCGGTGGACAGCCTAGTGAAGCGCACAAGTACACATGCACGCATGTCGCCGCTTCGTCAGCATTGCGAGGACAACTTTTCTTTTTTAAGTGGAGCTGCTGTATTCGTCTTGCACAATGACTGACGAGATTGGAGTTCCCGCCCTTGCAACTCGGCACTCTGCGTCGAACAGAGTCACCTGGTTGTCACTTGCCGCCTGTTCATGCGTTGCATCCCCAGGCCTGCAGTGCGGCCGGGCAAGCCGGCGTGCAGCCCAAGGCGGCACGCCTGGCCGGCGTGCACCCGTTCACTGCCGTCAGCGTGCTGGACAGCTGGGTCACTATAGGCCCCTAAGCTCGCAAGTGTGGCGCCTCCAGGGCTTCTGCACCCGCGGCCACAGCGGCCTGGATTGGCACCTCGAGGGCGCCCGTTCCCACAGCCTGTGGTTGCCTGAAATCGCCTCCGCAGGTGGCGGGAATGGGCGCCCGGGAGGTACCAGAAGCACGGCCTGATTCGCACCTCGCGACATCTATTCCCTCCGCTCGCGGTAGCTTCATTGGCCTCCGAGGGCGGCTGGAACGGGAACCCGGGAGGCACGAGAAGGGCGGCCGAAATTGGCCCTTCGCGACCTCCCACTCGCGACATCCGCGTTGGCCTGGAGTGCCCCACGCCGGTGGCAGACGCCCACTCTCGCCACCAGCGCTGGCCAGAAATGGCCCCCCGCCGGTGGCGGGATTGGGTGCCCGCCGGGCGCGAGATGTGCCCCCTCATTCGCGCCTCGCAGGGCTCATTCACCTCACCCGCGGAGGCAATTCCAGGATTCCGCCGATGGCGGGAATGGACTCCCGCGAGGGGCAAGATGCATGCCATGATTCGCGCCTGGCGGCCGTCAACTCCCGCCGCCCGCGGTAGCCTAGAATGGCCTCCGTGGGAGACGCGAGTATGAGCCCGCGAGGCATGAGGGGCGTCAAGCTACTCGCGCCTTGCAGGTGCCCACTCCCACCACCAACGCTCGCCTGGAATGGCCTCCGCCGGTGGCGGAAATGGGTGCCCGCCAGGCGCGAGATAGGCGCCTTGATTCACGCCCTTGAGGCGTCAACTCCCGCCGCCCGTGCACCCTTGCAACTGGCCGCGGCGGTGACGACAATGGGTGCCGGCGAGGCGCACGGTCCTCGCAATGACCCGCGCCTTCCGGGAGCCCACTCCCGCCCCCCGCACCGCCTTGGAACGGGCCCCGAATGGGGGGAATGGGTGCCCGTGAGGCACGTGGTCCACCCCCCTCCCCCGCTTCCAGCCCCCCGCCCCACGCCCCACGCGCTATCTAGCCTCACTACGGACTGCAACCGCCCTCCTTGAGCAAGATTGCAGCATCGCCTCGCCCCTCCGCTCCCGTTCCTCGCAGGCTACCGTGGTGTCCGGCAATGCGCCGGCCTCCCAATCCTTACACCGTGCCGTACCGTTCGGAATTCTGTGGAAAGGGGGGGTAACTTGGGGCCCGTTTACAGGGCCTGTCCACGCGCGTGCGCGCGATTGTGGACGTCCTGCGGCTTTCCTGCGCAGTAACACCCCCCTCTCGCCCCGAGGAGGGTCCATAACCGGCCTGTATGCTTCCAGCCAGATTCTGGAAAGCTCCAAATGGCCATGGGAAATTATGAGGCGATTCTTAATGCGTATTTTCTCCTTTTTAGGGAAATTTTCGACTTTTTTCCGTTTAATTTTCGTCAAATTTCTAGTAATTTTTAATTTTGAAAATGCCTTCTTGGGCGATGGACTAAAAATATATGTCAATGGATTCCTTAAGAAGTTCTGACCAATTAGCACTCAAAATCGTGAAATTTTATCAAGTTGTCAATATTTTATGGCTATTTGAAGACTGGTGGGTCGAGTCTTTTTTAGCGATGATGATCAAACATTCAAGGGTCCCATTTACAATTGGCAAACTTACAGAAACTTTTAGGAAGCTTTCAACACTCTACCTCCTTGGGAGAAGGAACCATATAGCTGATCAAGAATCTATTCCTAAAAGTCAAGTTTCTTGAATCTGAAATCTTGATTCAACATGCCATCATCAAATACAATTGACACCATCATGCCCAAAATTAATTGAGCCATAAATTGTCCACATCCTGCCATTATCAGCTAATGCCATTTCTAGCCTTCTTTTTATTCCAATGACTGACATATGCAACAGTACATCTGCAACAACACTTAGTGAGCAGAATGAGAATTGGTACATTGTAGATCACAAACAAACATCACCTAAATTCAAGCCAGTCATTGTCCCATTAAATTATCTATTATTGAAAATGCTATGATTGTCAAAATTTGACACTTCTATCACGATTCTTACTACATCAGCGACTCATGTCACACACCCAATAATGCCCATATTTTTCTCCACCAACATCTTATTAGTAAACATCATATGTTAGTACTGTTCATATTGTTCATTCAACTTTGCATATTCTTTCATTAAACATGATTTTTTCTTACTGATTTAATCAATTTGATTATTTCTTTGTAGTGGTTAGAAAATCATAGAGCGATATGCATGAGTCACAAGCATTTGGAAATGCATCTTGGGATGACATGCAGTATGGTAGAAGCACCAAATCAGGGACTGACATAACGGTGCACACCGCGCTCCCTTTGTTGGTCCTAACTCAACCAAAATACCTTGCGGAGGTGTTGCTTGCAGATGGACAGTTGGGGTGCTCGGGATAAGATGCCCGCATGTGCATTTTCACCATACCTCCACGACCTATAGTAGACTTCACCCATGCCCCCATTGATTTTAACCCTTTTGAAGGGTGTGATTGGTGGAGGCAAGAAGATGAAGATACATGGGAGGGGATGGAAAGATCGCATCCTTCGTTTGTATAGGTGTGTTTATATTACCACTATCATTGGTGTTAATTATGCATGTAATTAACAATCTTAGCAATTACAACATTATGGTTATGTTTTGTGTGTTGCATAACACTGATTTTCCCAATGCTTCAAGCATGAATGTCCCCATTGTGTTGCATTGTCACTTTGGGAGTTTTTGCATGGAATGACTAGAAAATTGTGTTCTTATAGTTTTTTTGTTTGGCATTGGAGTTGAGCACCAAAAATACTAAAGAAGAAGCCTATTGGCGAGGAATCAGTGTTCAGGCAACACGTCATGCTTGGGATCAGGGGATGAAGAATTTCATCGATGAATGTGTTCGTGCGGCACAATTGTTTAGTGAATGGGGGTGTGATACATAATCAGGTAAAGTGGTTTCCTATAAGTCATTGATGGCATTACGTCCTTGCTATGATGGATGCAAACCCACCCACACAATGGTCAGATCAGGAAATGTCCGGCACTTTGATTGTGAAATAATGCATGGAGTCCCAGCATCAACCCCATATATTGGATATGGATTTATTGACAACTATGTACCAACCACCAAACAAGCC